AAAATGTCAGGGTTCTAATGTACCATTACGTACTCCACAAGCTGATATATTTACATAAAAAACTACCGCGGAACGTTGATATTCTACAAATCTATATTGTCTTCTCGAAACGCATATGTCCCTAATCTTTCTTACTGCATTTGGTACTTAGAGATTTGTCTTGATAGCTTCATCTCGTTGTGTTAGTGTAGTGTGACTAGTTTAACTGACGCAAAAATGTCTCAGGTCCTACGTTAGATTTCACTGACTAACAGATATTTTGGAATTGTTGATTCGTGTTTATAAATCATGTTGTTTTTAGTGAAGTGAAATTTGCGGGAAGCATGAAATAAATTTAGTTTTATCATTTCACATTTTAATTGTATTTCAACAATAATACTTCTAAATAATTATGCAAACATTAGTTCTTCTCACTCATGAAAATCAATTCGAGTCGTGCCGCATATCATTTCGACCACAAAATTTGTATGGTAATGTTTGACGTTTTTTACTGTCATTATGATTTGTGACAATGAACAGCTTTTTCACTTTTTTCGGAGGTCTTATAGTCTACCTAAGTATGAGGAAGTTCGTCTTAATGTTTTTATCTATTCATTCATGACAGAGATATTGTATTACTTTCATAATTTGGGGACGTCATATTCTTTTAACTTGGTAAGTATATTAAATTTCTATCGTGGTTGCATAAATTTATAGCCTATCAATAAGATATCTTAAGTATTGTTCTCTCTTGTACAGCACTGGCAGAGTATCGTCATGAAAACTCAGAAGTTATACGTGCCCGATTTTTCTTCCGCGATGAGTTTCTTGTAAGTCACTCTGATTTCTTACTAATCTACACCTTGAGATCCCAATAGTCTATGCTAATTTTACTTTATTCATCTGTAGTTTGTCACTAACTGATCATAACTTCAAAACTACTCACTCGTTCATTAAAAATCAGTAATTCCCATCTAAGTGTTCTGGATGTAATATCAGTTATTTCGTTCTTTGTAAAAATGAAACATTCTATTGTATGCAATTTTGACTACTCAGTTAAACTTTCGTTTTAATTTTTGAAATGAGTTTTCTTAAAATTATCGTAACTTCATGATATCTATATTTTATTTTCATGCTTCTAGAAAGTAACATCAAATAACAATGGTGGACGTCATTATTGCTATCCTCACCTAACATGTGCAGTGGATACGGAAAATATCCGACGCGTATTCAATGATTGTCGCGATATCATTCAGCGAATGCACCTGCGGCAGTATGAATTACTCTAGGAACATATTTTGTAGGCCCCAAATATGATTTTTGTTCTTCCATATTTTTTTGGGGTATAATGTTTTAAAACCCCAACGCTTGTGAATACCATCTCATAATTAATGTTATCAAGTGCATCGAATATAGTTGAATATTTTACTCCCTTTATAAACCTACCTATCTCTGCTAAACTGCATTTGAAGACCAAGCACTGCAAAACCAACTGGCACGTTTGAAAATTTCGACGTCTTTTTAAAAATGTCAAACAGGATGCAAACAATATCATGTTTTCAAAATCTTATTTGTAATACACCATCTCAGATATTCGTATATTTATCTGAAATTTTTATTTCTCAATCCTTTTATTTTAATAATGTCACTATTATTGCTTTATTCCTTTTGGTATTCTTAAGTTTTGAAAGCATACTATTCTGCCGAATTCACTGTTGACCAGAATTTTTTTAATCCTGTCTGTTTGAATGTCTATAAGCTCGTTATTCCTTCTAACTCTGTCTTGGTTTTATCACCGTGATATGCAATTGTAACTTATTTCGGTCGATAAATATGCTCCTGTTTGCAAATCTGTTAAGTTGATGTGCCAATATGTTTACTCCCCTTGGATGTATACACAATAATATTTCGTAATCAGTAGTATCCAGTTTCACATGTTTGATTAAGAAATATCGTTAGCTAGCTATATGCAAACATATGGCTTGGTCATACATTTGGAATTGTAAACTTGTTTTGTCTTCAGTGAATAACTCTTGTCTTTCTTCCTAATTTCAAATCTTAGTGGTGATATACGCTACCATGTAGTTTTGCAATCCTGAAATTTTTCCTCTCTGATTTGCCTAAGATCTGTGTTTTTGAGCTTATATTACTTGTTTTCCGGTTGATTTCACTTAATTGAATGCCTCATATTCTTGGATTTTTATTGTTAACTGTAGAACGCACAACGATGTTGTATTCGAAATCCTGTTCGCTAATGAACTTTGTGTTCACGTTGTGATAGCCTTCTCTACTGAAAGTGGACGGGATACGCTTTTCATTTTAGTCAGTTCGAGTGGTTAGATATTTCTCCTTCACTCCTGTTCTCTGTACAGCCACACTTTCATGTAACTGGCTAGATTTACTCATAATATTGACTTCATTTTTCAGCTTGTTAGTGATTTTGCTTAGATGTTTCAACTTGTTACAGACAATCTCACTTCTGTAAGGATTTGTACTTTTTTCTAATATCTTCCACAGCTGAGTTTTTTCGTAGATACAAAATGAAAAAGTCAGTGCAAATTAGAAATAAATCTTTGAAGTGCTCCCATTTGTGCTTCTTTGATTTCTTTTGATCTCATTTAAATTTGAATCTTTGTCTTTAAATTTAATCTAATCGTATGCAAATCTTACACTTGATACGTTTTTAATGGCCTCTTCCATATGTATGAGGTCATAATTATACAAATTGGCTTACTTAAACCTTTTCCATTAACTTGGCTTACAAGCGAATGTTTACACAGATTGTGGTAGTTAGGTTTAAACCTGTGTTTTGAGTTGTGGGTGTTTAGTTGAGTTCTGCTCCTGATTTCATCTCCAAACTTCGACGATCAGCTAAGTGACTCATCTTTTAGTTGCCAGTGGTGCCGATTAATATATTGGTTCAATTAGAAAATACCCAGCACCAAAGTACTTTGCTTCTGAACTGTCAAACCTAGAGATGTCTTATTAGTTGTAAAGATATAGAATTTCGTATGTTAGAAAGATCATGACAGTATCATCCCTAGTTTCAATGAATTCTGACCTCGTATGCGCCTTCTGATTTTACTTCTTTAGCAGAATCATACCTTGTAAAACAATATTGTAAGTGCTGAACAGCTGAATAATGTTTCAGGTTCGAATTCACTCGAACTACTTTGCTTTGCGTATGTAGCTCTTCTAAAACTGCTCGTAACCCAAAGACAAGTACAAGAAGACTAAAATTAGTGGAGCATATTTAAGATTACTACATTGACTTATTGAGCCTACCTACGATGTCAGTTCCATACAAAAATTAACTTTCCGGAGCTACAGAGAGAACTCCGTATATGTCAAATACGGTCAAGTTTGCGAATTATCATTTTGCAGTAATGGATTTTGACGCTTCCATAAGAAGAGATAAAAACAATTGATGGACTGGATGAAACAAGCAATTAATATTACGCAGTTCCGGGTCGTATATAACCTGTTATTTTTGGCAGTCAAGTCTAATATCCGGCAGTGATATTCCGTAAGCCAACTGAGTTAATACTCCAAGGCCGTACCAATGACTGAATCCTGGACTAAACTACCTAGACATTCCTCGACCTTGGTGTAACCACTCGGAACGACGTTCTGTCCTTGTCGTTGACACGCCGAAGCGGTGGCTAAGTACGTCCTGTCATTAACAACCAACTTAGCTGCCCAAGGCAGGTCGGTAAGTCCGCGTAGTCTAAGCCGCGAGGTTCAGAGGGCTAAAAAAATGCTAGGGCGGAGTTGCAAAATTTCATAATGATAATCAAACATTTCTAGCTTCGATATATACAGAATTAAGGCAACACAATGCTAAACATATTCCAACTTGTGTACAGAACATAGTTAATAAGACCAGCGCTGTTCATGCTCCGTGGCAAATAACTTAATCATTTCACCTTTTTTAGGTTTTTTACAGCCTATATCAACTCGAACAGTGAGTCGGGACTTTGGAACCCGTTCTCATGGAGTGTGGAATGTCTGTGAACCTGGAATACAGGATCCTAGAGCGGCATTTCATTTCAAAACTGGTCCCATTCATGCTCCGGTTATCTGAAGACCAAAGATCATAACGGAGTACTCGGAATGCCTAAAGATAAAATCAGGACTTTGAATCAGATTCCTATTGTTTATGTGCTATCTGGAAAAAGGCATGGTAAAGGTACAAACTGTTCTGTCCCTCATCTCCAGCTGCTTTTTCATCAACCGCAGGTCAGGTGAAATCGAAGATTACGTCTATCGGAAGTATTAAGTGTTCTCACAACTTAATAATCAAGTTAGACTGAATAGAATATTAAAACAGCTTTCGGCACGATAATCAAGCGAACACGAGGAAACTCCCACTGTAGTTATCCTGTGACAATAGCTTTAAGAGGATGTACCGTTTAATTTAGTTAATAGTTCCAGAAATGAGACAACTGTTAGCAACCATGGCTAGAAGTCTGAGCTACTAAGTGTTCATAATATCTTACCAGGGTGTTCTCAACATGGTCATTTTCTAAGTAAACTCGGAGAACAAAAGCAATCTGAAGGCACTGATTGTAGCTCACGAGGTTAATTTGGTCAGGAAAAATATGTAAGGTCAACCGTTTGCGAAATTCGAAAAGTTGAAACTATAGTCTTCCCGAACAAGCGACTACACAATGGGAAAATGAATCTACATTATTCGATTCGGTTGGTAAGGTTAAAAATCCGTACCCTTCATTGGAGCACTCAGCTTTCAAAATAAGTGCTTCGATATGATTTTTCGACTATAACCGGTGTAAAGTTGATATGGCGTTCAAATGTTTCGGGACGGTCAAGAAGGTAGCCACTAATCTTACACCAAAAATAAAATTAGCGAACTCAGAGTCTCGTCTGGGTTTTTTGGAAGCTTATATATGTTATACCTTTTGCAAGTCTAATAGGCAGTTTTAATTTCTGAACCTGTAGAAATAGGATATTTGCATCGTATTGGACTGTTAATTTTTCTGAACCAGTATCAACAATAGATTGGAGAGTAATACGTTTTTTATTCGATTTACTCTGATATACAGATTGGTCAATTAGAAAAATGAGTATTATTCATCGTTTCCCAAAACCCGGCCGTGTCCAGGAAACCTTCCCGTAGTTGTAGTTGGTTGTCTTGCGCGTGGGGCTTCTCCAAAACCAGTTGTAATGCCTCTTTGGTTTGGAAATAGTCTATATCTGTGAAACAAAATACACTGATTTTAAACTTGGAGTACTTAATACAACTGTCCAAACAAGAGATAGGAACAACTAACAAAATAATTACTCGAAAGTAAAATTACCTGATATTTAATGGAAGTGGAACTATTCTGATAAGTGTGAGGAATGATCTGAATCCAGCAAACTAATAATTGGAGGACTGTTAGTCTTCGATAGACATGTTAGTCACGTACAGTAAGTATGTATGGATATTCATACAATGTTGACTTATCCATTCCTCTAGGATGTGACGAATAATCGAATTTCGGTAATGCCGGGTGGAATTAGCCATACTTTTTCAATGTTTAATAACAGTACGATATCTGGCATTTCAGAAGATTTTTCTGTTTATTTAGTGGTATCGCTTAAAACAGTAACAATTTCGCGCACAGGTCAAAAAATACTTAATTCAAATTAGATCAACCAGAACCAGACAATCTAAAGTATATCGAAATCGAGCACAATATTTTCAATTATTCAGATAGCTAAGTACTAGTAAGTAAATGATTCAGCAAGTCTAAATAAAGTGAGTTTTAAAGTCACAGTAAAGAGATTTTCAACAACCATAGTGAGGCACACAATTGAGACACTCAGATTTCAGATCGTAGTTACTCATCATATGTATGGATTACAAAACGTGACTTGCTTGGAAAAACAGCGCGTGTGTTTCCCTAATTGTCGCCTGTGCAATTGTTCTGTTGCTAATTAAGGCATCTTGCTGACTATTTTTAGAATTTTGACGAGTATTACGCAGTTCAGATAGGCTTGACATGTCCAGAAAAGCAATCTTATTTCACTGTTAGCTATATTTTTAAGTTAATGGTTATTTCCAAAACAACCGGTGCGAAATCTTCAGATTTCTGATGAGAATAAATACCACAGACCAATGACACATTCCAAAATTATCTATTACCGTACGCACTGCCTTCTCGTGGCGAACGTTCTTTATGAGTAAAAGGACTGAAAACAAATATCCAGCGCTTAGACCAGATTGGTGGATATTGAGGATTCCACCTGGAGGAAGTGGAAAACCCTGATTCCAAACCAATGATCGACATTTCTTTTTATTAAAACACATAAATATTAGTACAAGGTGGTACCAAACATATATGCGCCACACAAATGATTCAATTTGAATAAGGTCTGGGTTACTGCTCGGGAGCTAAAGATGGTGGTTTTCTTAGGCGGCCACACCCCGAGCCTTCGATCTAGAGGTCTAATACGTAAGGCAGTCGAGCAACGCTAGGAGATGCAAACCCATGGTAGCCGATGACCAACAATAGGTTCATATGCCATTTGATCCCTCAGGATCCTGGAGCCCACGTGCACCACTGGTTTGAGATCAGGTTTTCCAACTCCCCTAGGTAGACCCTGTGTCCACTAACCCAGTTGAGGCGCCGGTCATTCGCTTCTTGTTCTTTCGATTTCTTAAACAGCATCCCAGACGCGACCAGGCAGTGAGTAGGACTTCCCTGACAGTGGGTGTATACGCATGGCCATGTGAGTATTTTGAAAAGGACAGTTGGCTCCCACCACCCTTGGCCGTACCATGGCATTTGTCGACATTGACTCCTTGATCCATAAGGGAATGACGTATAAACATATTTTAGTCACTCCCTACAACAGGACTGCGTCTCCAAACGTTTTTTCACAGCTCCGTGTATTAGGCCTTTTGACCGAAGGCTAGGGAAGTTGTTTCTTAGGAAAAACAATCTGTTTAAGCGGCCCTGTCATATCTCAACCCAAACACGAATAAAAGGATACTTACTGTTGTAAAATATTTTTTGGTCTGTTTATTCGTTCATCTATATATTATTTGTACTTTACATTGGTCACTTATCCGTTCCTCATTATCAACATTTTGTGTATCCTTTTTTGTTTCAATTAACCTAGCAGCTTGTCTACGGTGAAAGTTCTGTCCTGTTCCAACGGTTTGAAGCTGTTGTTCGGTCGAATTTATGGACGCTTTTAGTAGATAGAATTCTTAATGCAACTTTTCTAAACCTTCGTTTCCCAATCAAACTGGCCTCCTTCAGAGTTCGTAGATAGAACAACGGAAAGGTTTGACTATGCTTTGCAAAGCCTCGGTATTGACGTCTCTTATACCTCTGAATCTGTATTCATCATTACAGAAGCACTAAAAGACCGCTTTTCATCTGTAGATTCGAAGGGATTATTTTACGTGTGCTTGTCCGAAAGACCCTGAGGCACCTTCATTCAGCAGGTGTGGGGTTGTTGCACTAAGTGTCATAGCAGCGACAGCGCTAATCGATTAAATTTTTAATTGAACTGTATTTCTTATTATGTAATGCCCTTGTTAATTATTTTATGTTTGTTTTCTCTCCTTTGCTTCATATTTACTCCCTTTTTCTCACAATATTATTTATACCTTAAGTTGCGCATTTCATTTTTTGGTGACGTGTTGAACTAGATTCTATGTGCTTTTGATGTAGTGAAAGTGAGATATGGTTGGTCACTGAGTATAAATAGATACAGCTTACTGACAATTAAATAAGTGATTTCCGTCCTTGTCATTGATTTCCACTCCGGACTTATTGAGAGTGACTGCTTGAAATTGTGTTAAATAAAGTATTATCTAGTCTATACTCCGGTTCTCTATTCTGGGCCAAGAATCCCGGATCTAATATAACGTAGCTAGTCTTATTATCGTATTAACGTATCATCTTATTGTACGTGAAAGACAAATATTATAGACCATCTGTTATATCAAGTTTATAGATTAATATCCTTTTGAGTTTTTCTATCCTGGTTAGTCAAACCATGGTGTGCACTACTTATGCAGACAGAAATAAGTAGTACGATGCAATTTGAAATTGAATGTTTACCAGCAGAAGAATGAAGTAAACATGAGAGGGAGGTAAACGAAGAGCAATAGGAATGACAACAGGACCGGAAGAATGATTACGTCTGTAAAAGACAACTGAAGGAAGATAAACATATGATGTATTCATTGTATGATTTCGGTACTTCACGAAGGCACTGCGTAAATATGTATAAAATAATAAATTGCTTTTCCATATCTGAATTCTCTTACATTACAGACATGCAGTTACTTTATACCATATAGACTGGACGTACTTTTATGAGCTTGACTTTCAATCTCATAAGCTTTTGCAAGTCGAATAGCGAAAAATAGTGTCTGCGTTTTCTCGTAGTTAAAACTATAGGGTTGATATAAACAAAGGTTTTCACACATATTAATAACACTTAAGTTACAAAACGTTTCTGTACAATAGTTTCCTCAAATAAAACATAGTGTAGCTAAAGATCCGAACTTAGAAAGAGTAAGTGGTTAGTTAGCATTTGTATGAAAAGTCAAATTTGATTAATTTTAGGCTTTAGAACGCAGTTGGATTATTTTGCACTAGTATATAGGGAGCGCTAAGTGTTAGCACAAAAAAACAGTAGTCTGCTTTTTTAATTTAGTGAAATATATTTTTGATGGAATGGGGTCCTAAAATATCACTTTGTGTTTCCACTTTTGACGCACACTTGAGGATATAAGGGTGATTTATATTGTTCAGTGGAGTTCTCGAATATAGCAGTCTGGCGCTTTAACTTCTGATTCATCCTTTCAAGTATATAGGATTATGAGCTAAGTCTTACTGGTTAATGATTTTCCAGGGCTTTTCAAACCAAGTTAATTTTAACATTGCTAATAAAGAGTTCATTATTATTATTAGTGAACTCTTTATTAGTAATGTTAAAATTAAAAAAACTACTACAAATTCGATCTCCATCTGTCGCTTCGAAAAGCTTGTTTTACGTGCGCTTATCCGGGGACCCTGTGGCATCTTCGTCTGGTCTTGCTGGCGTTGGTGTCGCACTAAGCGCTAGAGCTGAGGCAGCACTAGTCGATTGGATCCCCATTAACAGTCGGTTATGTGCTGTTAGATTAGAAAGTTCCATCAAAGTGAGAAGAAATCGGCGTGAGAAACGATGTCTTTTCGTCATCTCCGCCTATGCCCCGACAGATTGCAGCCCGGATGCAATCAAGGATGAGTTTTACCACCAGTTATCAGTTCTTCTCCAGAAAGTGCGTTCGACAGATATTGTAGTACTAGCCGGAGACTTGAATGCAAAGCTTGCGTAAGTACCGAGAAGCCTGGTGGTCGATGCGTGCTAATGAGCTGGAAGCAGCAGCTGCATCTGGTAACTACCGGAAGCTCTTCCAACTCATCCGAGCCACTGGCAGCAAGAAGTCTGGTGTGAGTGAAACAATCTGCGAGGATGACGGGATGCCAATCACTTACATCCATCGACGTCTTGGACGATGGGCAGAATTTTTCGAAGGGCAGTTCAACTGGCCTGCTGCTCCGGCAACATCGGTCAGACTGTCCTGCCCTCCATGGCCGGTGACGACTGATCCACCAAATGAGGAGGAAGTCCGCAAGGAACTTCAACTCTTGAAGCGTTACAAATCACCTGGCCCAGATGACTTACCTCCGGCTCTTTTTAAAGATGGTGGTGACTTTTTGACTAAGGAATTGACGACGTTGTTTACAAAGGTTTGGGAACTAGAGAGTGTACCAACGTCATGGAATGAGTCGATAGTTGTCCCTATCTTTAAAAAGAGTTCACGTCGTTCCTGTAACAACGATCTGGGGATAAGTCTACTTCCGATTGCGTCCAAGCTATTTGCTTCCGTCATACTTCGTAGGTTGTTCAAAACCCGAGAAAGATTGACTCGCGAGGAGCAGGCTGGGTTTCGTTCTGGTCGAGGATTTATTGATCATATCTTCACCCTCCGCCAAATGTTAGAACACCGCCATACTTTTCAAAGGCCAACAATCGTAGTGTTTCTTGACATCAGGACTGCCTTCGATTCGTTGGATAGGACTGTTCTCTGGGATTGTCTATTGAAGAAGGGTGTGCCTGAGAAGTTTATTAACATCCTAAAGGCCTTATATAAAAACACCTCAGGCACAGTGGGGGCATACAACCACCTCTCTCCATTGTTCCATTCGAGCAGTGGGGTTAGGCAGGGTTGCCCAATCTCACCATTCCTCTTCAACTTTGCCATCGATGACATTCTGGAAACAGCTCTGATGAATGTAAGTAATGGTGGTGTGGATCTGTTGCCTGGAGAAAGACTTCTCGACCTTGAGTATGCGGACAATATTGTCTTACTGTGCGATAATGCCCAAGGCATGCAACCCTCACTTAATCAGTTGGCAATCAGTGTCCGTAGGTATGGTATGTGCTTTGCACCTTCCAAGTGCAAAGTACTTCTACAAGACTGGCAGGATTCCAATCCTGTACTCACCCTGGATGGTGAGCAGATAGACGTAGTCGAGAATTTCGTGTATCTGGGTAGCTGCATAAGTGCTGGTGGGGGTGTGAGTGATGAGATCAATGCACGAATAGTGAAAGCCAGAGCGGCTTATGCCAATCTGGGCCACCTTTGGCGCCTTCGTGATGTTAGTCTGGCTGTAAAAGGCCGGATCTACAACGCGTCGGTGAGAGCAGTTTTGCTCTATGCTTGTGAAACCCGGCCTCTCCGAGTTGAGGACGTTAGACGACTCTCTGTGTTCGATCATCGCTGTCTCCGAAGGATTGCTGACATTCAGTGGCAACACCATGTCAGTAATGCAGAGGTTCGGCATCGTGTGTTCGGGGACAGAGATGATAACTCAATTGGTGTCACCATCTCGAAACATCGACTTCGGTGGCTTGGACATGTCCTACGAATGTCGTCCCAGAGAATTCCACGTCGTGCATTATTTGCCGACGCTGGGACTGGTTGGAAGAAGCGGAGAGGTGGTCAGTGCATGACATGGTGTCGTGGCATGAAAGAAAGCTGCAAAGGACTGGCTTGTGTTGGTCCTTCACGACTCCCTGGCTGGGGTCCGAGAGATGGTGCTACACAGTGGCTAGAGACGTTATCAGATATGGCTCAGAATAGAAGCCAGTGGCGATCCTGCTGTAACCTTCTTTTACTTTCTTCATAAAAAGTGGTTGTGTCTCCTTTACCTGAAAGATTTCTTCTGATTGTACCTCTTCGTCATTACTCTCTTTTTCTTTTGCGTTCCTTAGTTTTTTTTTCTTTCTACTTCTCTTTGAATTCCCATTGTTTTGTGTGGCGCATACATATTGGCGCTCTCTTGTACCAATATTTATGTGTTCAAATAAATAAATAAATAAATAACATTACTAATCATATAGTGACTACAATATGAATTAAGTTGAACATTACATACAGTATCCACATGGAGAAATTACTTACAAAAATCCAGGAGTCTTTAATATAGCTTGACCACCATACTCTTGGGGATACTGGAAAACGAAAAAGTAGTAAAGATGTCCAACGATTATTCCAACCAGTTCCATCATCGCACTGCAGTTACAAATAAAATTTTTGTTATAAAACAAACACAGACTAACCTCCCACGCACTATTAAGTTAAATATTACCAAGACCCACGGAAAGTACATTGCCTTGAACTGCATACCAAACCAAAATTGGACAATAACATCACGATTTAATTGACTCCATATATAGAGCACTGTCAGTACCATTGGCTCCAGAAGCACCTAGTTTTATGGAGAACATTGCAGTAAAAATTACTACATGGTATAATGTTGTAGTAATTGTAAAATGCATTTTGACTGAAATTGTTCTCTATAATTAACTTAATCTCACTTCATACATAATAAATAAGTATTGATTCATAGTCAGTATTTAACCAAGCTATCTATGACCGTTAAGGATGACAGTTTATTGTTTAGTTTTACGATTGATAAACTGAAGATTTGATTTACACATTAGAAAAACTACTTAAGACAACTATTGGGATTAAAAACAGCTACCATAAATCTGAAGATTATAAAGAAACTGCGGAGTATATCATGTTCATTAGTTTGCATATTAAATGCAGTTATTTTCAAGTTAATCCAGTTGATATTCAAACTGAAAGGCACTTGGGTGTATATCACGGTGTCGCAGCTCATTGAACGGATAATGATGACGGTTTGGCGTAACTATGCTCAGATAACCGTTTATTTATAGAAGGCAGTAAATTTATGCATATGGAAAGACATCGCCCAAAGTGGCAACCCCAAAAATAAACCTATTGATGAGTCCAGAAAAACTATCTTGCCCTCAGTTATCATTAGAGAGGCTAAGTAGAAAACTACCGCTAATTCTGGAGCACGTGTTTGACTCTGATTACGTCATAATGCAAGCACGAGTTTGCCTTCGTTTTACTGGACGCAGAAAAGTCACAACAGGAGTTCAGCTTTACGATGAAAAAGTCAAGAACGCATTTTAGGAACAACTACAGAAGCGGTAATGCAAGCACGAAAGCAACGTTCAACCCGATGTGGTCTAGCATGATTCTCAAACAGATAAAGGAACATTATTAACACGTATCGATGACTTGAACCATAAGGTTAAGAAGCACCAATGGATTTCTGTAGTGTATATTGAATGCACAGATACTCGGAAATTCATTACACTAGACTCTGAAAACACAATATGCGTAGATTGACAACAAGCGTATTTAATGATTGTGATCAGTGGAGGGCAGTGAAAACAAAAGGTGAAAAAGGCAACGGCGACAGACAACATTAGACAATTATTTAAACTACTCAAGGTGTAAAAATATGGCTGTTATCGAGACTGTTTTGGAAAAAGATGAGACCATTATTCACTCTCAATAAGGGAGATTAGGCCTATGGAGAGGACATTTTGGGTAGTTCAGCTGGCTTCAAGCTACTCTTAACTTAGCCACCTCCAAACAACCTGCATAGTAAATTGATACAAGCCCCACTATTCTTACGGAGGTTGAAAAGACTATAGTTGGCCTAAAGTGAAGAGGAGTAACAAGTCCCTGTGCAATTAACTCTGGAGATCTTTACGGATAATGGTTCACTTTTAGCGGTTGAGTTCTTAGCTAGATTTTGAGAACTGGACTTAATTTCATTTGACCAGTCTAAATCTCTGATCGTTCTAAATTATAGGGAAGGATAAAAATCCTCTTTTGATAATTGCAGAGGAATCAGTTCGACGATTGTAATATCTAAAATATTGTGCAAAGTCTGCTTAAGGAGAGAGGACCTTGGTTGTCACACAGTGCTAGTGTTGGAAACAGCAGTTGCATCGGGTAACTACCGGAAGCTTTTTCCGACTCAGCCAATCAATCATATTTACCGACGTCTTGGATAATGGCCAGTTCTTCGAGAGAAATTTTGGCTGGTCATGTATAGCGAAGGTTGGAGCGGCTTATGCTAACCTGAGCCATCTGTGGCGCCTATGTGACGTTAGTCTGACTAAAAAAGTCGGATCCACAAGTCGGTGAGAGCAGTTATGCTCCACGCTTGTGAAACCTGGCTTCTTCGAACTGAGGTCGGGCGACTCTGTGTTTGATCACCGTTGTCTCTGACGGATTGCCAACATTCAGTGACGACACCGTGTTATTAATGCAGAGGTTAAGTAACGTGTCCTGGCACAGTGACGATAATCCAATTGCAGTCACCGTCTTGAAATATTGACTTCGGTGGCTTTGACACATACTACGAAGTCATCCAAGGGAATTCTACATCGTGAATTATTGTCCGATGCTGGGTCTGGTTATAAAAGGCGGCCAGTGTATTATATGGTGTCGTGGTATGGAAGAGAGCTGTAAAGGACTGGGACCTGTCGGTTCCCGACGACTCTCTGATTGACACCCTACAGATAGTGCAACAGTAGTTCGAGACGTTATCAGACATGGCTCAAAATGGAAGCACTTGACGACCTGTTGTAACTTTTTTCATAAACGTGAAAGCAACTTTAAATGAAAGAATGTTTTCTGTTCGTATTTTTCCCAACCGAACTGCTTCTACTATTATTATTTCACTAACACTAACTTATATTCATTGTTCTTTTTAATTGTAATCACCTTTTCCACTTCACAATATATTATTGTGTAGTGCAGATACACTTTGGTGCCTCTTTGTGCCCATATTTGTATTTAAATGAATAAATCTTAACCCACAGCTAGACTTTTGGTAAAATGGTTTAGAATCATTATGCATGGAGCAGATGCACCCACTCCTTATCATTCCTTATTTTCTGAAGCCAGAAATCTCGTAACCTTTTTCGAATCTTCTCTACTACTACTGAATCAGTTACTAATTCCAGGATTTCACCTTGCTGTGCTCTAGTGTGCCGATTCGACTCAACACATGTATGTTTAGGGTTCTACGTTGTATGTGATTGTGAGCATGCGAATGACCTCATCACTCGCGCCAATATCAGTACTCATACGACTACCCATAATATACGAACTTTTGGACTACTCTTAACTGCTCGCTGTTCAGAGCGATTGGAGAGATAGGCTCCTCCTAGTCTTATACACGTAATTTTCAGGCAGGTGTAAAGTTAATGATCAGATAACTATATAGATTTATGCTACTAGAAATGTTGCAGGGAGTCTTGTTCAACTTAGAAAGCTCTGTATGAAACTTGCGCATGAACAACTTTTCTATATGCACTCGTCATTTAGTTTATGGTGATGGTAGGTTTTAAAATTTCCGTAGTCACCTGTTTCTGTAACAGTTCTATTACACAGCCCTAATTTCGTCACCGGAATTCATTTCTAGGTAAAATATACAGCTAAAGCCACTAACATATCTCTCTAGTCAGTGATTTTAAGGGCGACATTTTAAACATGGTAGAGCCACTTACTAAGGTACATCAAATTGATGTGTAAACTCAGACCCAGGCCCTTTGGTCCCTTGGAGTCCCGCGTGCAGGGCCATGGATGCTCACTGCTGAGTCCAAACAGGTGTTTAGTGCTTCTAGGTTTTCAGTGGTGGTTTATCCTAGATCAACTCGTGAATTTAATTGTGAAAATACCACAATGTACACAAATCCCTATACTGAAAAACATTATCGTTTACACGTCATTACATTTATGTGATAAACAATGTATTTTGAGATTAAATAGACAAAAAGGTCTTATGACTATAAGTGAAATATGAAATGACAACATTATGACAAGCAATCCCTGGTATTTAACTTACGTAAAATGAAGCCAAGAAACTGACAATCTGTTGATCAGTTAAGAAAATCTTGTGAATATAAACAGATATTCTCACGATCATTGGGTAATTTATAATAACTGAACTAACTTTTATTAGAAAACCCATAAATTGAACCTCATAACCATTGACTGGGGTCAATCCAAATAAACTGCGAGAATTCAACAACATTTAATTCAACTGTCACAGTTCAGCAACTAACGATGGAGACGCATTTTTCATTAAGATTTGCTACTTATAATTCAGGTAAAAAGCACTTGTTCTCACATGTCTTGCAATCCCAACTAAACCCATCAGCTAACCAGTACGACGAAGTATGAGACAGATAATTCAAGTTATCTTCATGCAAATTAGTGAGTCCAATTTCGAAGTAATTACAGATTACTTTTAAACAAAAAAACGGTACAGATTTCAGAGGAAGAATCCGTCTTACGTCGACTTAAAACACAAAAAGTAATTGTATAACAGTGTGTTACAAATTTCGTTAGAATAGCAAAATAGTACTACAGATAAAGGATACCACCAGTGCTAGCCAAGTGAACAAAAACATAAATACATAATCTGCAGTGCGTCCGAGGAACATACCTGAAAATAATATTGAAATTAAGTAAACTAACCATTCTCTAATCGAGAGGAGTATGAATACAAGAAGTAAAGATTGATTAGGAAGTGAAATCCAGTTGATGGGGATACTGGATAGAACAACAAAGCTGTGATTGGCCTCCATATCTATAAAATGGTAAACTATATAAGTAGCAAACCTCGAAGTGGGAATACATTCTGTTCCACAACAAAATCATACGCATGGGATCAATAATATTAAATTTACCGAGAAGTGAAAACAATATTGTTCCCGAGAACCAATAACGGGTGACAGGAGGGATGCTGTTGAACATATCAGACAAGTCATTCCCAGGCATGTTTATACAGTTTAAAATCACTTTATATCAAGAGGCGTGTCGAAGTATTATGTAATGTCTACAACTGATATTGGAAATTTTTCATACGAAATCCCACAGCCTAAAGAATGGAAAACATTTAAGAACTAATTAGACCAAGGCTTCATGGAAGTGGGTGATGACGTTTTTGTATCCAGATTAGGAACAGAATTGACGCGATAACCTTACAAAGACATACGTGTAATTAGAAGTACAAACAACGTTTGAGTTACCGCCCTCAAAACGATCTCCAATATAGTTATCAGCTTAATAATCAGTCTTCAGTAATAAGGAAAGTAGGTTGGTAGACCTGTGATAATCCTTGCACCTTGCTTTCTCGAGGAGGTCCATCCTTTTTTCGAAAGTGTTCAACGATTGGATGGATACCACTATCGTGACATGTATACTCAATGATTTTTGTAACGACAAAATAAAAACCACACTTATATTCAATATCCATTGTTTCCCTATATCAATGGTAAAGAAACGTATATAATTCTTTGGTTAAATAGGCATACTACCACGACTGTTAAAATATAAACGCTATCTCCGCCGTCTGTTCTTCTGCTTTATTGGCCATCGCCTTTGTTTGAAGATTATAATAGTGTTATAACATCCTTTTAGGCCTTCCCACACTATGTTGGAGTTTTGGTTCGGACAATTAGTAAATAATACTATCTGGTTTATTCTTTCTCATTACACGGTCGATTTCACCACATGCAGAGGGATCTTTAATAATCGAGTGAACTCATTTATGGTTATCTCAGAGAGCAGCTTACAAATAACATTCATTTCATATCAGCTGTTACCATTTTGTTGCTTAGTATACCACTCGTATTGTAATCCGTTATCTTTTACTTTGCTGATAGACAGCTTTGTAGTGTTAATCCTTTTTGGTATATTAATGATATCTTTGAGTACTGTTGTATCTTGAATAAGCGCTTTTGCTGTGATCCCTCATAACACTTGTTCAGGTAAGGTGTTCCAGACACTGTACACTCGGTGAGAGGTACGAGACCCCCTCCATTTTTATGAGACCGCAGCTATGGCCTTAAAGATGATTAGTTCGGGAGTGAGCACAAAATAAAACATCTTGACACCCAAATCGTTATTAGATATACGGAGTTCCAGTTTGAAATCGCCTCGCGCTCTGAGAAAATGTTAAGGCGTTGTAGGCGCTCATCGTCAGGCAGCTTGAAAAGACCCTACATTAGTTTTGTTTTCGGACGCTGGACATGTTAGAGTGTGTTATTATTCCTGGCAATACATGGGCTGTCTGCTCAAACACAGTACTCTAGGTGTGGTCTCACATTGGTGGGAAACAAAATTCGAAGCATCTCGCCAAAGCATTTAGATGCTCAAGAAAATGATCACGAATTTTGAAAATACTTGGTTGCTGCTGCGTCACTATGAGTAATTGTTTTCAAGTCGTGACTTACTATTATCTTTAAGTTTTTATGTCCCTGAACGCATGGAGTCGATGTACCGTTGATAGCATATTGGTAATTAATACCATTTTCATTGTGCAATAGCAAACTCTTTTTAGGACTAATCTCTAGGCCCCAACATTGAGAATATCCAACTAATCCGTCTGCGTCAGCTCGGAGATCAAATCGATCTGCCTTGATTCTTACTGTTCAGCAGATTCGGACACCACCTTTAATCAGTAATGTGGACAACCTAAGCAGTCACGATAATTCATCGACATGGAGAAGAAAAAGTAGGAAGCTAGGATAATGCCTAGGGTTACGCCATTTTTAACGGGCTTCGACTTAAAGATAGTAACCCATTAAATTTTACTCTCTGTCTTTGGCCACAGAGGAAGTTTCCAAGCCATTCTCCAATGTCACCTGTTACTCCGAATCTCAAAAGCATTTGCTAAAGACATTAGTGATAAACCTTATGAAATGCCTTGCTTAAGTCTACAGATATCGGTGAGGCCATTCTTACACTTACTTTGGCTCTGAAGTGACCACTCTGGTCTGATAATATTATTTGAATTACGCGTTTTGTTTTCTTTGGTATAGTATCTTCTCTCCGCCTGAAGTCCCTCCGGGGGCTACAGCCGGTCCTAATCCCAGATAAAGGAGGAGGGTTGGGCATGGGGTTAGCGTCCTCATCCCGTAGAAAACGAACTCGCTAAAAAAACGCTAACCAGAAAAAATTATTCGAACTTTTTAAACTCTGCCCTGGGAGTCAGAAGGTCTTCGTTTAGAAGAATTATGACGCCTCATGATGAAATCCGAGTTCTTTCGGAAGTTACGAGGCCGATGCCCCTTCTGACAACCAGAGCGACCATTTATTTAGGTACATGGAATGTTCGTACAATGTGGGACACTGGGAGAGTCTTACAAATTGCTGCAGAAATGAGAAGATACAACCTAGAGGTGCTTGGGATCAGTGAAACACATTGGATGCAAGTTGGACAACAACGACTAGCTTCAGGGGAGCTTCTGTTATACTCCGGCCATGATGAAGAAAATGCCCCACATACACAAGGAGTTGCATTGATACTGTCCAAACAAGCACAAAATGCACTTATAGGATGGGAATCTCATGAACCAGGGATAATCAAAGCCTCCTTCAAAACAAGGAATGAGGGTATTTCAATGAACATCATCCAATGCTATGCGCCTACCAACGACTACAATGAAGACGCTTAAGATCAATTCTACGATAGGCTGCAGTCAATCGTCGAGAAGTGACCAACAAAGGACCTGACCATTCTGGTGGGAGATTTCAATGCCAAGGTTGGAACGGACAACACTGGATATGAAGACATCATGGGATGACACGGACTGGGAGAAAGGAACGAAAATGGTGAGAGATTTGCAAACCTATTTGCCTTCAATAAACTGATCATAGGCGGCACCATATTCTCATATTAAAGCATTCACAAAACCACATGGACTTCACCGGATCACACTACACAGAACAAAACCGACCATATCTGCATCAACAAAGAGTTCAGAAGGACGATTGAGGATGTGAGAACCAAGAGGTAAGCTGATATAGCATCAGATCATCACTTACTGGTCGCCAAGATGAAATTGAAACTCAAGAAGCACTGGAAAACAGGGTGGACAACATCACGAAAGTTTAATACGGCCTTTCTTCGGAATAGTAACAAACTCAACGAATTCAAGATAGTCCTCAGTAATAAGTTCCAGGTCTTTCATGATCTACTCAATGGAGAAGGAACTACTATGAAGAGCAACTGGAAGGGGATAAAAGAGGCAATCACTTCAACATGCCATGAGGTCCTGGGCCACAAGAAGCACCATCACAAGGAATGGATCACTGTTGATACACTGGATAAGATTCAAGAAAGGAGGGACAAGAAGGCAGCAATCAATACCAGCCGAACAGGAACAAAGAAAGCCAAGGCACAAGTTGAACACACAGAAGTAAACAAGCAAGTGAAGAGGAGCATTAGAACTGACAAAAGTAAATATGTGGAAAATCTAGCAACGACGGCGGAAAAGCCTGCAAGAGAAGGAAACATGAGACAACTGTATGACACGACAAAGAACCTCTCTGGAAACCGCCGCAACCCAGAACGACCAGTGAAAAGCAAGGAAGGTGAGGTAATCACCAACATTGAAGAGCAACAAAACAGGTGGGTAGAACACTTCAAACAACTCTTGAATCGACCAGCCCTACTGAACTCACCCAATATCGAAGCAGCACCCACGGATCACCCAATCAGTGTTGGCCCATCAACAATTGAAGAAATCAGCATGGACATCAGACAAATCGAGAGTAGCAAAGCAGCAGGACCAGACAACATTCCAGCAGAGGCATTGAAAGCAGACGTAGCGGCAACTGCAAGAATACTCCACATTCTCTTCAATACGTTTTGGGATGAGGAACAAGTACCAAAAGACTGGAAAGAAGGACTTCTGATCAAAATACCGAAGAAAGGCGATCTCAGTAAGTGTGATAACTACAGGGGCATCACTCTTCTCTCGATACCAGGAAATGTATCCAACAGGGTATTGTTAAACTGGATGAAGGAATGCGTAGACGCCCAACTTCGCGACCAACAGGCAGGAATTCATCACTCTACATCAACTTCATTGACTACGAAAAGGCATTTGATAGCGTGGACAGAACAACACTATGAAAGCTTTTTCGATACTACGGCGTGTCTCAGAAGATAGTCAATATCATACAGAACTCATATGATGGATTACACTGCAAAATCGTGCATGGAGGACAGTTGACAAAGTCGTTCGAGGTAAAGGCCGTTGTCAGGCAAGGTTGCTTACTCCCACCCTTTCTCTTTCTCCTGGTGATCGACTGGAACATGAAGACGTCAACATCTGACGGGAAGCACGGGATACCATGGACATCTAGGATGCAGTTAGATGAACTAGACTTCGCAGATGATCTGGCCCTTCTATCCTAAACGTAACAACAGATGCAGGAGAAGACGAACAGTGTGACAGCAGCCTCAGCAGCAGTAGGTCTCAATATACACAAAGGGAGAAGCAGGATTCTCCAATACAACACAGCATGCACCAAACCAATCACAATTGATGGAGAAGATTTGGAAGATGTAAATACCTTTACATATTTGGACAGTATCATTGATAAACAGGGTGGATTTGATGCAGATGTGAAGGCGCGGATCAGCAAAGCAAGAGCAGCATATTTACAACTGAAGAACATCTGGAACTCAAAGCAACTGTCAACCAACACCAAGGTCAGGATTTTCAATACAAATGTCAAAACAGTTCTACTGTAAGGGTCGGGAACCTGGAGAACTACGAAAGCCATCATCCAGAAAATACAGGTGTTTATTAACAGTTGTCTACGCAACATACTTCGGATCCGTTGGCCGGACACTATTAGCAACAATCTACTGTGGGAGAGAACAAACCAGATCCCAGCGGAAGAAGAAATCAGAAAGAAGCGCTGGAAGTGGATAGGACTCACATTGAGGAAAGCACCCAACTGCGTCACAAGACAAGCCTTCGCTTGGAATCCTGAAGGCCAAAGGAAAAGAGGAAGACCAAAGAACACATTACGCCGAGAAATGGAGATAGACATGAGAAAAATGAACAAGAATTGGGTGGAACTAGAAAAGAAGGTCCAGGACGGAGTTTGTTGGAGAATGCTGGTCTGCGGCCTATGATTCTTCGGGAGTAACAGGCGTAAGTAAGTAAGTAATTTATTAATCTTCTCCCCCATATCTTCAGAGTAATAATAGTACTAGTTTCGAGGTCCCTTTCAGTTGGGTTTAGCCTCAAATCTATTTACCAATTCTTATTAACTAA